AGTCTCTCTGGCCTGGTAGGATGCGGCTGATGGGCTGCGTTTCTGGCGCTGGCGCGGACGCGGAAGGCCGCGAGGCGCGGAAAGTCAACAAGCAGATCGAGGAGCAGCTCGCCAAGGACAAGCAGGTTAGCAAAAATCCCGAAATTCTCCGCTTTTCGCGGTGTTGTCTTATTTATTAGTTATTGATCTGTGTGTGCTATAAATAGACGGAGAGTGTATTTTGGGCTGCCTCTGCAGGTCATGCGCGCCACACACAGGCTTCTGCTTTTGGGCGCTGGTGAGAGCGGTAAGAGCACAATCGTGAAACAGATGCGAATATTGCACATAAACGGTTTCAACGAGGCAGAGAAAATGGAGAAGATCAAAGACATCCGGCGAAATATACGTGACGCTATGCAGGTTCGTGAGTGCTTCGATTCCTGCTGCAAGCTGCCACCGCTGGCCGTTTGCCGTGTAGCAATTAGTGCTTGTATTTGATTTTTATCGTTATCTTTTCCGGCAGTTGATTCCTGTTGCTATTTATAGCCACACTGAAATCTGCTGCCTTTAGCCTTTAACCATCGTTTTTACTGAGAAAAGCTGTTGTGCGCCTTCAGTCGACGATTTTGAGGCGTCTTGCATCCTGTTCTATATTTAGCTTTCGGAAACGTGTTTCTTAGATGACTCAGCGCAGTTGTTGTTTCATGGGAACGTTTATGTGTTATAAACATCTTTGCGAAATCCTAGCAACTAGTTCTTCTGCTAAAAGGTGTCTGACAAGACCATGGTCGATGAGTGTTATTGAGACTGTAGAATGCAGCGCGGCATGTATGGTGTGATTGAAGGTAATTCTGCGCGCGATGGGCACGATCGATCCGAGAGTGTTCTTGGACGATCCGAGCACTCAGGCGAGCATGGACTACGTGCTGAACTGTGTCAACGAAGTCGACGGCGAGTTCTCGCAGGTAGGCTTACGTGGTATACTCACTTAATCGGTCATTGAAGGAGTCTTCCGAACTAGTTGGCCAACCTTTCACGATAGTAGTCGGTTTGCCATCTAAAGACGTTAGAAAAGCTTGCAAATCTTCCTTTTTTTGCTACTATGTAACTTGTGGTTTTTTTGTTTTTTTTTCCAGTTTTTTTTTTGCAGTACCAGTTAACTTTTTATAAATTTATTATCCAATATACTTCATATTCTCAGATTTTATTGGTCTTTGGACTTGTGAAAATGACCTCCCTCATATGTTCAAAAAAGCTGTTTGGTTCTATTTTATCGCTTCCAGGAGTTCTATGACCATGTAGCTAAATGCTGGGCCGACAAGGGCGTGCAAGCTTGCTATGAACGAAGCAGTGAATATCAGCTTATTGACTGTGCGAAATAGTAGGTTTTGCTTTACTGCATAATTCGAAGCAACTGCGATTTTTTTTTAGTTTTATTTTTCAGAACGCATATAATATTTTTTCCGCTTTAGATGACCCTTATTCTTGCAAAGCTTTATGAGATGTTTTTGAACAGCGTATATTTGCATCCAATAATTGCGCTTGCTTATGTTATATAAATTGTCCATTTCTACCTCTTCAGTGATTCTAAGTGCAAGGCATGTAGTTCATGAACGTCTAAGATCTACCTTTCAGTTTCCTGGACAAAGTTGATGTAGTGCGCCAGCCTAACTATGAGCCAACTGAACAGGTATGCTCTAAATT